CCTCCTTCCCTCCCCGCTCCTCCCTTCCGTCCCCTCCGTCTCCCGTAAGCGCCAAACACCCATCTCGATATCACTCCTTCTATACTCCATAAAAAAGTCTCAGGAATGTGATGAAAGACGTCATGCTTCACCATGATGAGGTGAAAGAGTGATCAGCTGAGCGCTTACAGAAACATGACTGAGATGGGGGAGGGGAGAAGGGTAGGGTCGGAAGAGGCGGCGTCAGCAAAAACATGTGTTTCCTGTACGTGCATGAACCGATTCATATGGACAAAGAGACTGTAACCCCAGATGAGGTGAGGTGAGGTAAGCGGACCGAGTTCGGGGATCTCTGGTACGCCGTCGATGCGTCTTAAAAACAATTGAGCTCGACAAAGATGTAATTTCTAGAATAACCCCCAGCTTACACTTGACCCCTTGTCTTTGAATTTCAGAAGATCGTCATCCTTAGCGAAGATGTTTCGTTTCGTTTCCTTCCTCCCCTGGACATCGGACGCAAACAATCAATAAAGCTTGGGATGACATGGTATCCGGCGGACGAAAGCAGGGAATACCGGCAAGGTTACTCGGATAGGATTTGATTCGGCTCGGCTTCTTTTACCTCTCTCCTCTCCCTACCCTCTCCTGTCTCCGCTCTGTCTTTGTTCCTGACTTGGGTATCTCCCGGAATCTCAGACATCTGACTTCATGATCAACAGCCCATCACATGCATCCCATAGTAGATCAAATTAAACGAGAAACGGAAGAGAGGAAGAGCGAAAGTGAGAGGGTTAGAGACAAGAAACCCCACACTCGCCACCGACCAGACCTGAAACATAAAGACAGTGAAACAATTGATGAACATCACAATTCCCTTCCCGTGCCGCGTTCGTGGCCGTTACATCACCAAGTGCCTGGGAACGGCGGGCGGGAGGTCTACTCTTTGGAACGGGGTTCAGTGGTTGGGCAAGTGGCGAAATAGCGCCCGCTTCCCAAGCAGGAACCCGTCCCCGTTTTGGCCGCGTCAAGCCTCGCTTTAGGGCTGCTGATCTCGAAATCTTGTGCTCGGTTCGAGGAATGCTTCAGGAAGCGCTGTTACTTGGACCTTCGCTTGCAGACCTGGCTAAGTAAGTAATTATAACACGGCTAGGAGAAGTTGATGTATTATTAGAACGGAATAAAAATCCAATAAATCGACAATAGATTCCGTGACTGTGCCGTGCAATATTGAATATTGGAAACGGATCTGAACAGGTCAAAACAAGCGAGCGGTAGGATTTCCGATTTCAACAGTGGGGTTAGGTAGCGCAGGACCCCTGATCATCACAACGCAGATCATGGTCCTAATCGCGATCAAGCTGTTTCTCTGATACGGATTGACAGCGGAGATCGTCTGATATGATGCTGTGGCTTCGGATGGAGTGAAACATTTGGATGTCACTGCTGCTGAGGATTGCATCTTCAAAGACAAGAATAAGCAGGGGAAGGAGGGCTGAAGGCGGTGTATGGATTTAGTTGAGTTTGACGTCTAGATAGATGGATAGATAGCCGTGATTGCCAGGAGGGCATATCGGTATGCAGGAGAAGGGCAAAGAAAATCGAATTTCTGGAAGGGATGGAGAAAAGGGGGTCCTGGCCCTTAGGCCCGTGTCCTTTGAGATAGATCGACATCCCTCAACAGATCCGGATTACCGCTTCGAGGTTTTAAGATGACGAGGATGCGTGGCAGATAAAGATATACTTTTCCACCCAAGAAAGATAAGAAGTCGGATCTTCAGAAACTTATCAATCCTCAAGCTCTTTCTTGACGGGGAGTGTAGTGATGGGAGTCTCGACACTGCAGACCAAAGGCCCTTGAAGCGTCTGCTGTCATGGGTAGGACATGGATGATTCCCGCGATTGTCTATCTCTAAGACCCTCCCGCTTTATCGTATGGTTTGCAGCCTTTCGGGATTGGGCTTCCAGTAAGGACGTAAGTACTGATGAGGAGCGCGACATAGTGAGCGGGATAGTGAGCAAGCGGGCTCTGGGAGGTGTGGGTGACAATAGGTGTCCACGAAGCGAGAAAACAAGGGTCGGTGTGAAGCGCGATACCATAGCATTCAAACATGCCAAAAGATGCTCTTAAGCCAGCCCTTTAAGATATGTGATCTTGGTCAGTACCGGACTTGTGAGGCTCAGTTCCATGCTGACTTCTGCTGAAATCGCTATTCAAAGCCTATTACCAATACTTCTTTTCTATCACTGCTGTACCAGCATCTTCTAATCATGAAAGCATCCGACAATATCCACTGTAAAATGGCGGGGTAGGAAGAAACAGTTTGACTTCTCAAATCCTCAAAATCCCTGTTTGAGAACAACGAGCAAGAGAATAGTCTGGTAACGATAAAGACTTCCATGCTGACTTTGAATTGTTCTCAAGAAAGGCCATCGGCAAGATTGATTCTTATCTCTTGCCAGTATCAATATGAAATGGCCACTGGATCCTCTCACTATCAGCAAAAGAAACATCAAAAAGATAAGATTTCTTGCACAACGACCTGGGATGAATTAGTATTCTGTTTTTAGGCATCAAGGTATTGTACACATACGTCTGCAGGATTTGAACCTACGCTCCCTAGGGAAATAGATTATCTAGTATCCTGTGAGAGGATGTTCTAGTCTATCGCTATAACCACTCAGCCAAAACGCCTCTCGTGTCAAGTGATGTTGAAGAAGCAGCTATTTCGATCCTTTCCAAGGGTTAAGCTTTCGGCGTTTGTGGAAACAAAGGTATCCAGGGTGGATACAACTTTCAGAAGCGAGATTTTATGGGTCATAGGGTTAAAGTGATGAGATCTGGCATGCTTGACTTGGAAACTCGAATGGATGATCGTTGTTCAACCACTTTTATCTTCTCATTCGGCGAGCACGATGTATGGCTCATTCTTTGCTGCCTTCTCCAGACTCTGTGTGTTAATGAATCTCAGTTCTCCAAACAACTTTGCGTCCCGTCAGGAAAATAGCCGAGCTTCCGTTGATTTGCTCACTACGCACGGTCTTGGACGACGTCCTTGGTTTGTATCATTATTATATAAACCACATTCTATCATCTTGCTCAAAATTGCTAGCGCCCTGTCCTAGTCTTCACAAATTGGTTCAATTTCCGATTCAGGCAACTCTAACTCCAACCAGTTTAATCAATTTACCTCTGTATCACCAGGCGTCCCAAGCCAGCTTCCGCAAGGAAGAGCTTAATTTCGCCCAGTCCTCCGTCGCTTGGATTTCAACAACTCAGGGAATCGTATCAGAAGAAGCTATCGTAATAGTCATCATGATCGTCATAATGAGGCTGTGGCTGCTTTGGTTTCTGCTGATAACCAGACCGCGACTTCGCTTTGTCAATGTTTCCCGGCTTCAGTATCCTTCGACAGGTCGCACATGCTTTCATCTTACAGTCTGGGCATTGAAAGAGATAGCTGTATGCTTTAGAGCACTGTTCGCACGATAGCCGTCCCCGAGGAGGAGTAACTTCAACTTTCGGCCAGAAGCCGCCATGGAGGCAGCCATTCCCCTGGAAATCGCTCGGCGAAGAAGTGGCATGATTCGTCCTCGGCTTGAAATTGCCATTAGAGGAAGAGGCTGAATTTTTTTGAGCTCCTTGGCGGCGTTGTTGATTTGCTTTGAACTCTTCGAAGTTGCGACGCTTCTGCGCTTCCTCCCGTGCCTTCCTGGCCATATTTTGCCGTTCGTCTTCCTCTCTCTGCTCTTTCTGGCACTTCTTCCAGTATTCCTCTGTGGCTTTCCTTCGTTTCTCACGCTCTTCCTTTTCAACCCTGTCCCTCTCTCTTTGTTCTTTCTCACGCTTCTCCTGCTCTGCCCTTTGAGCCCGCTCCCTTGCAAGTCGCTCTTCCTGCATTCTCTCTTGTCTCAATCGCTCTTTCCTGTAGTTCAGACGCGATTCGTACGTTGCAATGCTTCTATCGTCGGCTTCATTTGCCTTCGCAAAGGTTAGGCGTCCGTCCTCGAGCTCCTTCTCCCACTTTCTCAGCTGTACCAGCTTCAAGTCTAGAGCTCTCTCCTTGAAATTCTTGGTGTGAAGTCTCTGCAAGCGCTCGTTTGCCTTCCTTGACTTTTCCTCTTCACTGTCAACGGGCTTTTTGTACAGAGGCGAGAGAAGCCATGTCGACCAGGTCTTGGCAGCAGCCTCCTCCGCCTCCTCGGCTTTTCTTATGCTCTGCAGTTCCTCAATTGCCTTCTTGATTCTCGTAACCTCTCTTTGTATTTCGAAGATTGCGTCATCGTAACCCTTGAATGCTGCTCGCCATTTTGCTGCTCGTTCTTGTTTCACCTTGCGAAGCGCTGTGATTGCTGCAAGATCGGATATGTCTTCCTGTGTGGGCTTCGGTGTTGACTGACTCGGCTGCGCGCTGGGCTTCGCTGAAAATTCGGGTTGAGTCTTGGGAGTAGGATTATTCGTAGCTGGCTTTCTATACTTGATGCCCGGATAGATTAGGTCGTAGCCTTGACGCTGTGGCGGGTCTTTGAGTGTTTCATAGGCTCGCCCAAGCTTTATCAGGTGGCTTACGTCAGCGTTCGAGCTCCAAATTGTTTCAAATCCAAGGTAGAATGTATCCGTGTGTCGATTTCGGTTCCAGATGATTCTTCACTTACCAATTGGAAAGCTTCAGTTGCATTAGATCGAGGGTTTCTGTCAGGATGCAGAACAAGTGCCAGTCTCCTGTATGATTTTGTGATGACTTCTAAAGTGGCTGTTTGCTCAACCTCGAGGATAAGGTAATAGTCATCAGTGATTTCGATTGGAGCCATGATGTTATGATTTTCTCTTTCAAGTAGAACAAACTTTTGTTTGACATTGACTTTACTTTTTGCTTGTCGGGAGCCTCATCTTGATGCTGCATCCGTGTGCTGTCATTGCATGCCAAGGTTACACAACGCTCCCCGTGACTTCGAAGATAGGCTTAATCTCGATTTTAAGAACCCATTAATCAATTTAGACTTGACACCTAACGATCATCTGTATGGTAATTATTACCATCAGTTCTCAAGAACAAAACATACATCAGTGCCTCCTTGAATATGAGAACTTGTACGCAGTTACAGCCATTATTACACCACAACATATCATATGCATCACGTCCAACATCTATTGCGAAGCTCGATTCGCGCATCTCCCCAAAGTCTTTCAATACTTGAGGTGCATCTAATTTTGGCATATGCATCTACAAACTGCAGACCCCTTGTGCAAACTCAGGGCTACAGAGCAGCCTCTCTAATCCTTGCCGCGTGCGAATACGCCACGTCTTAATCCTATCATGATGTTCCTCTAGAGTACAGACCCAAGGAAATTTGGTATACTTCCACCGATATCGTTGTACGAAGCGTTCCTACCCCGCACTGTCAGCGTGGAGGGTAATTAAGCGAAGTAAACAATCTACGATTGTGTAGCCATCGTTTTCGATGACGAACATGGTGACGTTCAAATTGTGGTGATAGATGGTGAATAGCTTTTGAGCAGTGAGTTGAAAAGAGAGTGTAGTAATTCCCAGAACATCGTCGCTCATGAGTGAATTCCAGGCACTTACCATCTCCCTCGAAGCAGATTGTTCGTCGACCCTTGGCCAACTCGACTGTAGCAAGAGCTGCGCCCTGTACCGCACCCACTCCATATCCGATACTCGACCACAAAATCTGATCGATGATTTGCGTGTTAGGCTGCAAGCCACCCTTCCAGTATCCTACGTACGATGTCCCTGTATCTGTGACCAACAGATCTCCTCGCCGAAATCATTTTGCCAATCGTGGTCAAAGCCAAGAATGCGTGATGTCGTCTCCTGAGACAAACATCCTTAAGTATTTGCGGCATGTACTTCAAAACATTTCGGGCTACCCATCAGTTTCAACCCAGCTCCTTGAGAAGACGCAGCAAAGACAGCGCTATCAGCAAACGCCTGGGGATACGTGAGCGCCAATGCCGGTCCCGGCGAAACAGAAGAGAAGAACCGCGCAGCATTCCGGAAATGTTCAATCATCCCTCCGAGACTGGTTCAACACAGGATACCCTGCTCTGTCAACAACAGTCCTGGGTCAGAAGTTGTCTTATTTAATAGCCATTGCCCTCATTGGAGCACAGATTATTTCCAATACTGGGGGTGAAATCGCCGTCGCGACTGCCGCCGCTGAGCTCAATATCCCCTTCACTTTATCCAGTGCCACATGGACCAGCTTCAAGGACGTATCCAAAGCAAACCCTTCCGCCTCTCAGAAATGGTACCAACTCTACTGGCCGTTCAACGACAAAAACAATCTGACATGTCTCTCCTGAACAGGGCCGAGACGGCCGGCTTCACTGCACACTTCGTTACAAGCGACCCCTACGCCATGGGCTGGCGATATATTTATATGGATAATGATTATAATCCATTCCTCGTCGCCGACCACGTTGGCGTCGAACTTGGTGTTACGGACCCTTTCGGCAAAAATTCCGCGCCGAACATGGTATCGATGTCAAGGACGATCTCGGGCAAGCAGCAAAGGAATGGGCAAGTATTCACACGCCTGGCACATCACATACTTGGGAAGACTTGAACTTCTTGAAGCAGCATGGGAATGGTCCTATTGTGCTAAAAGGCATTCAAAGTGTTATGGATACGAAGAAGACGGCAGAGTTTGGTATGCAAGGAACTGTTGTTTCGAATCATGGTGGAAGGCAACAAGATGGCGCTCCAGGCAGCTTGAGAGTCTACCAGCATTCGTGGATACGGTTGACAATAAATTAGCCGGATTCTTCGACTCTGGCGTGCAGTTGAAAGTCCGACATAGTCAAAGTATTGGCATTAGGCGCAAAATACGTGTTGTGGAGAAGACTATACACATGGGGAATGGGTCAGTCGAGATTGACTGATCTACAAAGCCTAGTAGAAAATGGTACCTTGTCCGCTTGATAGATTCCATCGAGCGAAGGAGCGTCAGTATAACATTCATAAGCTTATGGAAAACCCTCAAACACAATACCAGCATAGAGTCGGGAAATTCACCGACAAAATCAATGTCATTGCTACCTTTCACGTGATTGACTGTGAGGATTGAGAAACGCTCTACGATAAACCTGCGCACACTATGATAGCAGTTTGACCTAGTATATATAGGATCAATAGTAGCATAATGAATGTGGTGAGGTTGTTGCTGAATACCCTAATGGCTTTCTGGCTTCGAACTCAGCCTCGTTCCATTCAGAGGAGACTATCCATAAGCAGTATATTTTTTGTGCCTGTCATGAATGGAAATAAGGCATTTTCAACCAATCAGTAGCTCACATAGCTCAGTGGTAGAGCGGAGGATTGCAGTTTAATCACTTCTCCTCAGGTCATCTGTTCGATCCAGGTTGGGAGCTCTCCTGTCAACATTATTTTTTTTGCTGCGATTTGGTGCTTTGGAGAACCAGCTTCATTCTCCTATGGCTTTTGCCATCCTTTTCTGTGGCTCTTTTTACTCAATTCTAGCGTCATATCTCGGAGAACTAACCTCATTGTGTGGCCGGTTCGGTTTCCTTTCTTTTGCTTTGTTGGATCCACAAAGCCTGCATTAGGGCAAGCTACCTTAAGCGAGGGAGAAAAGGGGCGTTCCTCGCTAACCCCTCCGACTGTCAACAAGACTAGGAACGTTGAGAATTTTAGTACACAATATCGTCCA